CATACATACATACACCCCCAACAGGGGCAAATGCAGATTTGTTTCCAGGCTAATGGGGAAAAGCAGGGTGTGTTTCCACACCTCTATCCCCCCCCCCAAATACAAATCATAAATCATAAATAATAATGACAGTTTATATTGTGTTCACAGTGCTATGAAGCACACCTAAATTGAATATATATAAACATATATATATATATGTTTATATATATAATTATTAGATTTAATCATTATAGTTGCTTTTTGAAAATATTATATTCTTATACCTTGTAATTGCCACCAGCTACAAGGAGATTGTTTGTAGAGAAAATCATCAATTCCAACTCCACTAGAATAATTTCTTCTAAAAATTAATACAATCTAAAAGAATAAAATTTTAGGCTAAAATAATATATTCAGCGAAATCGAATCATAATACTGTTTTTATATATTTTTTCGTATATAATAAAATATTACTCTATAAGATGTCTATTATTAAGATGTTAAAACTGACGTAAAATGTAGCTGGTACGGTTGCACGAAGGGAAACTTGTTGTAACTGCCATTGTCCGTCACCATGTCCAAGTGAGGAGGTCACTGCTAGAGGGTCTCCAACGTGTCCGTTTAAAGATTGTAGGTATATCAGTAATTCTCCGGTACTTCTAGGGTGAAGGTAATACCAGAAAGAAAAACAAGTTTCAGAACCTGATGACGTCAATAATGGTGAATACAGCACAGCTTTGTCATATTCGGAATATATGTAGTGACCTGTAATAGAAAATAGTCATAATAACGAAATCTAAGTAATTAAATATGTAATTAAAGCCAGGATCCAGAGGGAGGAAATGTTTGATACGCTGTACAATTGATTTTCTAAGACACAAGAAGGGTGTTTGGCGAAAGACTCAGGAACTCTTAATATAAGATACAGATTTTTTTTAACATGTAAAAACTGGGAAAAGAGGGAGTCACCGCACTCTTCCCCATTTGACAAAATATCAACAATCAAATTTCCTCCGGAGCCTGACTTTACAGTATAGTGAAGACTCCCTTAACAAAACCTAGCACTTGTAGTCTTTCATCGACGTTATCACTCTGACTGGGTTAGAGGTAGGGGTTTAATTTTAACGAATGTAAATGACAAGTAGTACGCGTCGGTTGACATGTTCTAAAACACCAGCTTGATTTCACATAAAAACTGGATTAGTTTAAGACGTTAAAGTGTTGAGGAGTTTAATTGTTAGATGCTTCTCTTTGGAACGATTATGGTACGTGTAGTAATGAAATTAAACTAAAAATTACGTCCTTTAAAAAGCCCAAACCACCTATGGAAATGGCACTTTCAGTCTTACAACTGGTTTCCAAAGGTCTCATTTTCAATATTTGTTGCAAAAAATAGATGAGCATCAAGAATGCCCACATCCATGTCAGCCACACCATGGCCGGGACTAGGGCAAAAAAGTTTTCAAAGGTCTTTAATGTCATGTGTACGTGTGCAATAACTCAGACTAATATTATACAGATACAGATTGTAGTTTCCATGTGAAGTAAGAGGGCAGTATATGCCTCAGTGGCATTATCATGACATCTCCCCTTCTTTGAGTTTTTATGAACATACTGTAATAGTATCATGTGGATTTTAATTATATTAATTATATTGCAATAAGGAACAGTTTGTTGACTAATTCTTGTTGTTTAAAAAGATCTTAAAACGTTGTTTATATTTGCAATAAAGGCAATTTGATGATTATTATATAAAGTTTCTGACTTCTATTAATAAATGTATTTATCGTGTTATTGTGTTGCAGGTAATTCCATATTATCACATAATCATCAGGCATTCATTATGGAAACATAAAACATTAACTAATTCTACTAAAACAGATTTAACAGTTCAAACTTCCATTTTAAACGATAGTGGTGCTTAACTGTGCACAATGTATCTTGTGTTTAAAGTTCACAAGTCAAGGCTATTGACTGATTTAATACGACGTCTTGTCCGTGTAGTTTGGTTTGAGTGTGGTCGTGGTAATTCAGGCTCTGTTGTGTTGTCGATTCTTGTAGCATGATTTTCGTAGTGAATTCGGGTATCACAAGTACTGTTATCATTGTTTGTGTTTGCATCCGGCATTTGTTGTATGTTCTGCCGGTTTCTCCTGAATTGTTGTCCACTTGTGGTCTAGACGATGTATGATCTTGGTTCCTTTGACTAAGACAAAAGTTTTACTGGACTTGACCAGTTTTTGTTGTGACTAGTTCTAATGTGCACTGTGTCTTCTGGTATCAGATTGGGCAAGGGTTAAACTGATGTCACTGATTGAAGAAGTGTTCATATCGCTTCTTTGCTACGGTGTCGTTGTCTTTCACTTTATGCATATCCGGCAATTTTGGTTTGCAATTTCTTTGCATGTGTCGGAAATGTTGTTCTTGGTTGACGTCCCATTAACATTTGTGCTGGGCTGTGTCCTGTTGCTTCGATTGGTGTTGACCTATATATCACCAGTGCTAGTACAGGATCATTTTGGTGTAACATAGTTTTCGCTGTTTGGACAGCATGCTCTGCTTCACCGTTTCCTTGTGGATAGTGTGGACTTGTCGTTACATGTTGAAATCCATACTCTGCGGCAAACAATCTGAATTGACGGGATGCGAACTGTGGTCCGTTGTCTGAAACCAGAGTCTCTGGGATTCCCCAACGGGCATATGTTACTTTTACTGCCGTGATGACCTTCTGGCTTGTCGTGTCTTTTTGTAGATTTATCATTTTAATGTACCTTGAAAAGTAGTCAGATACTATAAGATAATGATTTTTGGTCATCCATCTAATATCTATTTCAGAAGTGTTTGGCATTCATGTTTGGTTGCTTTTCTTATCTGCTCTAGCTTTGATGCTGATGCAGGCCAGGTGGTTGTTATCGATTCAACATAGAGTGCTACAGCTTCATTTGTAGTAGATTCGCTAACACTCATTGGGCTTCTGGACAGTGTGTGTGCAATAACCATATCCTTACCTGGTACATGTTTTGCTACTGGATTGTATCTCATTTACCTCATGGTTAATCGTTGACACCATTTCGGAATTTTGTCATGGTCAATGTTGTTGATAAGTGGAACTAGTGGTTTGTGATCTGTGAGAAGAGCAAATTTTTCTAGTCCACAAAGATATCTATGAAACCGTTCAGTTGCCCATACTGCTGCTAAGAGTTCTTTTTCTATTTGAGCGTATCGGCATTCGCTCTCAGTCTATGTGCGTGATGCATGCGCTACAACTTTTAGATTATCTTTCTCTCCCTGCAGCAGAACAGCTCCAAGTCCGTAACTGCTTGCATCTGCTGACAGAGTAATCGGCTTGTTTGGATCATAGAGTGTTAATGTAGGTGCTTTTGTTAATAATTCTTTGATTTGCTCAAAGGCATCTTGTTGTGTTGGTCCCAATATCCATGCAGTTAAATCTTTCAGCAACACATTTATTGGTCGAGTGCCTTCTGATAGTTTTGGAATGTAACGACCTACACAGTTGACCATCCCAAGTATGCGTCTTAATTCGCTAACATTTGTGGGTGGCTCTAGACTGCATAATGACCTTTATCGTGTTTGGGTCAACGCTTTGTTCCTTCTGCGCTGAACCTCTCTCCTATATACAACAGCTCTGATTGTCTAATCTGGCATTTGCTTTAGTTCAATTTTTTTCTCCACCATTTCGTAGACCCGGTTCAATCTAGAATCGTGCTCTTCCATAGTACGGCCTGATACTATGATGTCATCTTGTACAACTGTTGTGCCTTTCACATTTTCCAGCATATCTTGCATTTTCCTTTGGAATATTTCACTTGCACTAGTTATACAAAAAGGAAGTCTCCTAAATAAGTATCGTCCCATCGGTGTGATGAAAGTTGTTACTTTTGAACTCTCTTCACACAAAGGAACTTGGAAATATCCACTTGTTGCATCTAATGCTGAAAATACAGTTGCACCTGCTAGCTTGTGTGTTATGTCATCTAAAGTTGGGAGAATATATCTTTACCGTTTGATTGATTTGTTTAGTTGACGTAGATCAACGCAAAGCCGGGCATTTCCTGACTTCTTAATTGAGGGTTACTGCCATTGGTGCACACCATTCTGTTGGTTCGGTCACTTTTTCTATGACCCCTGCTTCCTCCATTCTCTTTAACTCTTTCACTACTTTTGGTAGAAGAGGCGGTGGTACTCGAAGAGGTGAGTTAATGTGGTATGGAATGGCTTCATCCTTAAGTCGAAACTTGACAGGGTCAGTTTTCCGTAGGCCGATGGTTTGATGGTTGATTTCCTGTATGTTGGTACTGATTAGTCCCATCTTCATTGATACGCTACGACTGAGCAAGTTACTTGTAGTTCCGCTAATAACATGAACATCAAACTTACACCGTTCATTGTTATGAGTTGTTTCAGCTGTAAATTTCCCTCTAATTTCGTTGTCGAGTTCTTGAAAGTTGTGTGTGTTGCTATTAGCTTTGGCTTGGGATTTAGACTACGGTAAGTATTTTCAGATATTATTGTTACATCAGCTCCTGAATCGATCTTGAATTTAATCGTAACATTCTCGATTTTCAGATTCACTATCCAAGGCTTCTCATCTTTACCACTGCATGTCACAGTGCTTAAAAACAACTCCTCAAACTCATCACTTAATAACACTTCACCAACTCCTTTGGTGCAGCACATCTTTGCAAAATGGCCCCTTTTGTTGCATCGCCGACATGTAACACATTTTGCTGGACAAGTTTCACGCTGGTGTGCATAACCACAACGAGTGCATTGTTGACTATTTCTTCCACTACCACTATCATTATTATGGCTTTGTCCACCCACTCTAGGCTGATTTGGTCTAGGCTTATATTTGTAAAGTTGTCTACCACGTCCCCTGGACACGCTTGCAATGGTTACAGTCGATTTACTGTCTGTACTTAGTCCTTGCTGTTGGTTTCTAACTTGTTTTCAGCATTTCTAGCAAACTGAACTGCGCCCTCAAGTGTGAGCTTGGTCATCATTTGTAAGTCTTTGGACACGTTTTTATCTCTTAATCCTACGACGATCATATCTCTAATATTTTCTGTCTTAACCTCCTGTGTTTGGAAATTACATTTTTCAATCATATCGTACAACTATCGTATGTATTTCTCAAAAGATTCCCCTTCATTGTGTTGCCTCTGAAAGAACGTGGCTCGCTCATGAATTAAATTGATTTTGGGAATATTAATAAAGTGATCATAAAATTTATCTCTTAATTTACTGTTATCCGATTGATCATCCTCTTCTTCAAAAACAAATGATTTAAAGATTGTTTCGGCTTCCATTCCCATTGAGTATATCAACGCCTCCATGTTTATTCTCCATATTGTACTACATCAAGATAAAAGGCAGTATATGCCTTAGTGGCATTATCATGACGTTTAATGTGATGACATTTAATATTAAATAAATCAAATACACTAGAGGGACGAACAACATGGGCAAACAGGGGCAAAAAAACAAAAAACAAAAAACAAAAATTTGAGATAATTGAATGGATGCACAATTCCATTGAAAGGTTGATTCATATCGGGTAATGCATAGCTACAAAGACAGTTTATTAAGCGAAGATGCACCAGCATGGAAACCTTTGTGCAATCAATCACTCTCTATCGAGGTCAGCAGGTATGTGCTGTCAGACAACCCCATGCACAGTGACCACAGTACACTGATATGTATGCATACAGTATCTCCATTGACGACACACCTTTAGTAGACTTACTCTTTTAATAAAGTACAGTTTTTGTGTAGACAACATATGACACTTTTGACGTGTAAGTTTTGCTCCCTTATTGTTTTCAAGTACAGTACCTGGTTTAATCATATTGTGTAATTTAAAAGATATATTTGTGAAATTGTATAAACCTGTTGTCTCTAATTGACATGAAACAGTGGCGTAACAGGCGTGGGGGCAGACTTCCCCCTGACGGTTTTTACCGGGCTGAATTAGCCGTCGTATTGGGCTGGGTAATAAGAGAAAAGAAAGAGGGGAGAGGGAGGGAAAGAGAAAGAAGAGGAAAGGAAAAAGGAAAAGAAAAAGAGGAGAGAAAAATAAAGACAAGAATAAAAAGGAAGATATCATAATGACCAGACTCACAACACGCTGCAACCTCTTCTCCGCTTCACTCCTTTGATCTAAGCTGCCAGATGGCGTAGGCTAACCACCGGGGAACAAGGGAAAAATATCTATCTTTGGAAAATCTTTCCCACCCCTTTTAATCCCCTGAAAGTGCCTAAAAATCTCAAATTTCGCGCGCTTTGCGCGTATTTCTTGTCAGAGCAGGCCAATTTCCTCTAAACATTTTAGGGATTTTGGATCAATTCCAACGAAATTAGAATTAAAAACACCAGGGGGGGGGGCAAGGGGAAAATATCCATCTTTGGAAAATCTTTCCCCACCCCTTGATAAATGCCCTTTTCATCCTCTGAAAGTTCCTAAAATCATCAAATTTCGCACACGCCCCCCCCCCCCCTATTTTTTTGCAAAGAAAAAAATACACCCACAGTGTTTAAGTCTTCTTTTCCTACCAAAAACACCCTAGGAGAGTACTATTCATAATCCACTTGGTGAGAAATAGAACACTTGTAATTTACTAAGTGTTAATATACAGTAGCGGATTTTGTTGTTTGACGACTTTTTTAACGGTTTTTGGATATTAGTTTTCCTTTTTGCTGATTTCGTGATTTTTATGTTCAATGTTACTGAGAAACTTCATCATGTTTTCTAGAAGTGAAATTTCTCTTTTGAAATGGTGTACATTTATGAGCCTTTGTATTTTGTCAAAGATTATGTTGTGAGTAGATGAATTATTACTAATTTAATGACACATGTCAGAGTTGCATTTTGCAGGTACCCTGTATATTAAAATTTCTTTTAAAAGGCATACACCTATTATTATTTTTTTTTATTTATTTGTTACTGAAAACTACCATGCTAGATAGTCAAAATCGACTCAATACAACCTCATATTCCTCAAATGTGCTGGGCTTCAAGAGGCTTTCGCCCCCTTGGACCCCCACCGCCGGGGGCCCTAGGCGGCCCACTGGCCCCCAGCCTAAGGCTGCTCGCTTCGCTCGCAGATGACACCCCCCATTTTTCTGGCAGGCTGCATCCGCCCATGCCCTCGGTGCTTCGTATCTTGACTGGTCGTCCATCTTTACTTTGGTGCCCCCCCCCCCCCCCCTTATGCTAAATCCTGTATCCGCCCCTGAACAAGTACTAGGACTAATTCTTAAAATGTTTTCAACTTTGCACATAATATAACTAACGTGACTCGTCTTTTAAAATAAGGACCTATTTTATGCCCATCTTATACCTAAAATCTGAAAAATGTGGACACATTTCCTGCATACAAACTGAATAATTGGAGCACTTAAAAAGATTGGGACCGGTGTTACACCTCAAATATAAAATTATGTGAACTGACGTTTTAAAAAGTGGACTCATTATTATTATAGTTGAGATCATTAGTGAATATACTTTTTTATGGCAGTTTTGTGGCTTTTATATCTGATGTAATGTGATTGTAGCTTAATAACTTATTCTATTAAGACAGTACATTATTTTAACATTATATTTTGATAATTATGTAAAAAATTAAAATCCAATTCGGCTTTGTTCAAACGAAGAGTAATCTTTTCATATTTTCTTAATAAAGAAACTGGTAATCTTCTTGAACTGAAATCCTTGATAATAGAACCAAATGGACGTAA